CCATGTTTCCATGGCAAAGTTTGGAATCAGGTCCATTGCTCTTTTCTTTCAAGAAATTTCTCTGACTATTCCTAGTAGGTGAGGACATGAGTTCTTCTTCTAAGTCCAGGTGTGAATCCATGAGACAATCTGCAGTATTTATGTGCTAGGAAAGGGGGTGGAACATTCAATATTGTGAATAAAATGACCAACCGAGTATCTATCACGGGTATAGAGTATGAGTGTCCTCTTCAGTTACCAGTAGTTGATAGTTCACAGTAACATGCATTTTGACTTTTCAAAGTTAATTTTATGTAAGAAGTTAATAAATAAGTAAATAAATAAACTAATATTCTTGGTAAGATCAGAGGTCATGGATGTTTACCAGAAATGGAATAGAAAAGGTGACATTTAATTTCCTTTAATATTTCTGTGGCTGTCATAACTGCAAAACATGTTAAGTCTTTGCACACAAACTCCATCTATAAATCCCTACAGATGTGTATTCTTATCACTGGGATCCTTTTGTTCCATAGAATATTAACTATATTTTATAACCATTTTGGCAAAAACATCACTTCATCCCTTCATAATAGATGAAAAATTTTCCATGTATTTCTTCTTTTTTCTTTTATCTTTTTGTTTTCTGGGACAAAGTCTCTCTGTTTGTAGCTCTGGGTACTGTGTTCTACTCTGTAGACCAGGCTAGCCTCAAACTCACAAAGGTCCATCTGCCTCTGCCTCCTCAGTGCTGGGATTAAAGGCATTGTGTCACCAATGTCAGGATCCATACCTTTCTTTTCTGGACTTTGTTCCACCATTAATGGTTTCTATACATTTTGCCTTTACACAGTGATACTATTAAAGGAAATAATCTTGGTATTGTTGACCATTATGTTCCCAGTTCCTGTGTCAGGTAAATGAATTAAAGATATGTTGAGAGGCAACAAATTGTGTTAATGTTACCTCAGCACTTCCATTTTGGAGTAGTTTGAACAAAGGAAAGGCCAAGCTTGATCTCTGTCAATTCCTCCCAACCCATGCATCTGTCTGTGTCCACTATGTGATGGTCTATCTGTAATTTGTGCATGTAAATCTGACTGTATCTACTGCTTATGTATGTGACCCAACAAAGCACTTAGCTCTGTATTTATCTGACATTGCAGAAAACATGGCATGGCAAAGAGATAATGACAGTTTCCTTAGAGAAATCTTTACCAGAGTTTACAGAGTAGGAATTAATTTAGGGACCCCAACAAACCCTGAAACACCCAGAAAACAAAAAAGTACTGCAAAAACAGATACTACTAGCAAGCTATATTGTTGTGTTAATTACATCATTTATGGTGAATATAGGGTTTCTACCTGTTTGCTGCTTTCAGCAAATGATTACCACAACCCACACATACAGATATGCATTATTTTGAGTCAGGATCACGTGGGATGCATAATTTAAGATAAAAGCTGTGCATTTGCTTAGGTTGTAAAATCTCATTGTATGCAAATCCATGGTAAATAAATTTGGGTGTAATGTTATTCTCCTAGAGGCAGGTTAAACAGACAGGGTGAGTGCATGGTAGGGTATCAGGATAAGTCTTAAGTGATCCCAATGTATATAATTAAAAAGGCTCTTGGGTCCATCAGAAGTTCAGTCCCTTATAAAATTCTAAGATAACTAGAATTGTATCAATACATAGTCCCAATTAGACTGAACATCCAAAAAGATTGGTGATTGAGTTGGAGGTGTTTTTAAATCATGTGATGTCTGGTTGGCGGTGGCATACACTTTTATTCCTAGCAGTAGGGAGGCAGAAACAGGCAGATCTCTGCTAGTTCGAGGCCAGCCTGGTCTACATAGTGAGATCCAGGATAGACACCAAAGCCACAGAGAGAAACATTGTCTCAAAAAACCAAAAAAAAAAAAAAATCACGATGGAGAGAGGACCTTGGGAACTATGATGGTAGTTGTCCCGTATATGACCTCTGAGTTTACAAGGTAGTGCCAATACTTAAATTTTGAGTCATGTAGATTAATTTTAAGCATATGTATATATATATGGTTTATATACATATATTTTATACATCTATATATATAATGTATTTGTATTTTTGAATACAAATATTGACAACTACAAGAAATTATCCAGGGAGATAACTGGAGGGCAGAATATACCATATAAATTCAGAGCATAAATTCCCTCTACTTGCCATTTTATTTTAAACTTTTTGGTTAACACTTGATGGTCCTATTCCGAGAGTTAATATACAATACAACTTTCTAACCTTGAGTTTGAATGTTACTTAGGAACTCACCAGGTTTAGCAAATAAGCAATCATCAGCAACATGGGTAACCTGCAAAACTAGGTCCACATGATCCCTCTTGAACTATAAACAGTGAACAATGAGGTCGCTCAGAGTGGGGTGATAGCCTAGTAGCACAGCCCCCTGACAAGACTCTCTGACCTTTCCTGTCCCTCAGACTGAAAATTGTACACAGCTTCCCAGATGTAGCATTTGGCCTGGAGAGATGGCTCAGCAGAAAAGAGCATTTGCTGCTCTGTTCCCAGACATGAAATCACTGCTCACAATGGTCTACAATTACAGTCCCTGGGAATCCAATGAATTTTCTTTACTTAGATCCACATCAGGCATGCATGGGATACACATACATACATGCATGCCAAACATTCATATGCACAAAATGAAAAATATTTACATTTTAAAGATACAGCTTTTGTGAGTCATCATCTGTTCAGGTGTGTGGTTTAAATGCTTCAAGTGCCTTTGAAACATTCATGTTCCTGCAAGTAATCTTTTAATCAAATTCCTGTAATAACTTCATAAACTCATGTCTCTCCAAGGTGGACTTTGGAGCAATGGCTACAATGATCTGTCAATTGTTTCCTTCTGTTTGTCAAAGGGTGTTTGCTCCAATAGTTCCCAGAAATCTCAAATTGTGACATGTATTACCCAAATGGTCACCATGGTCTTGGTGTCTCTTCACAGAAATCGAAACCTTAATTAAGACACAGATATACATACATATATAAATATATATTCACCTATGTACTCACTCAAGTATTCATGTATACTATTAAGTCAACATGCATATAAAACATTCATATGCACAAAATGAAAAATAAGTATATACTTTAAAGATACAGATTTTGTGAGTCATCTTCTGTTCAGATGTGGGGTTTTGATGCTGCAGCTGCCTTTGAGTGCTGTGAAATGTCTGTATATCCTGTGGGAGCCCATTCTCATGTTCTTCGTGGGTTTACCCAGCAGGTCTGCCTAGAGGATGATTAGGACCACAAGCCTGAGTGCAGGTGTCTGAGATGGTCTGCACTTGGCTGTGCTGGGGGATGGTCTGTATGTCAAGTTGCTCTGATTTGTCAATAAATACTGATTGGCCCGTGGCTAGGTAGGAAGTATAGGTGGGACTAACAGAGAGGAGAAATAAAAGAACAGGAAGGCAGAAGGACTCACAGCCAGCCACAGCCAGGACAAGCAGCAAGAAAAGATGCCAGTAAGCCACAAGCCATGTGGCAGGGTATAGATTTGTGGAAATGGATTAATTTAAGCTATAAGAACAGTTAGTAAGAAGCCTGCCACAGCCATACAGTTCGAAGCAATACATAAGTCTCTGTATTTAGTTGGTTGGGTCTGAGCAGCTGTGGGACTGGCGGGAGACAAAGACTTGTCCTGACTGTGGGCAAGGCAGGAAAACTCTAGCTACATTTGCGTCATTCAAGTAATATTTCAAACAAACAGATTCCTGTGGTTACTTTATAACCTTATGTATCTTCAAGATGGAATTTGAGGAATGGCAACATTGATCTGCCAACTGTGTCCTACTGAGATAATTGCTCCCTTCTTTCACAGAAATGTCTAATAGAACTATCTGTTACCCACTTGAAATCACAAGGGGTTGAACCACAGAAAGCATCATTTCTATGTATTCTTTCTTCCTAGACCCTAGAAGCCAAAGTGGCAGCTTTCTACACTCAGATGATCTGTCACAAGGCATTGAATTATTAATTATGTAGGTCATCCAACAAACTCTATGATAATACACTCTGGAAGGGCAGGCCTGATTGTAAGTATATCTCAAGTGTAGTGTCCCTCATTGAGAGTTCTAGGGCCCTCAAACCTTCCTATTGCAAAGTGACAGGCAAATGATAAGACAATGACAGAGAACAAACCAAGAGAAACAGCTGACTATAATCATTTTAAGCCTTCTCCTGAGTGTCCACAGCATTGGTGCCTTATCAAGAGTTGAGGACATTTGACTGAAAAGCACAGTGAATTGTGTGGTTTAGTTCACAGAGGAGATGTGTTCAGCTATGGGAGTATGGATTTCCTTTTGGTTTTCTGACAGGGAAAAAAGAGCCTGAGAATCATCCCAACTCTAAAGCCACATGGAGAGGCATCAGCCAATTAATCACAGGTAGAGGAGTCCTAGGAAGGTTGCCAGCAGTGCCCATGAAAAATTTTGGAATCAGGTCCATTGCTCTTTTCCTTAAAGAAATCTGCTCTCTGACTTTTCAGTATAGGTGAGGAATTCAGTTCTTCTGATTCCATGTGTGAATTCATGATGCCAATCTGCAGTATTTGTCAGCTGGTAAAGGGGGTGGAGCAGCCACTACTGCCAGTAGAAAGACAACTGTGTATCTATCATGGGTATGGAGAATATGAGTATCCTCTTTGACAGTAGTTGATAGTTCATGACAACATGCATTTTTACTTTTTCATACTTAAATTTATGTAGGAAATTAAATATGTAAACATATTCTTGATAAGATGGATGTCATGGATTTTAACCAGAAATGGCAAGAATGGGTGACATTAAACTATCTTGAATATTTTTGCTACTGTCTTAATTGAGAAAACAATAAGTCTTTGCACAGAAGCTCCATGTATAAATCTTTATACATGTGTATTTCTATCTATGGAATGCTTTTGTACCGTAGAAGGTGAACTATGTATTTACATCATTTTGGCAAAAACTTTTTTCATTCCTTCATAAACTATGATATTCTTGTTCTTTTCTATGAATTTCTTGTTCTTTTATTTTTTTCTATCTTTTTTGCAGGGGGCACAGAGTTTCTCTGTGTGCAGCTCTAGCTTCCCTGGAACTCACCTTGTAGAACAGGCTAGTCTTGAACTCATAGAGATCCACCTGCCTCTGCCTCCTAAGAGCTGGTACTAAAGGCATTGCACCACCAATGCCTGTCTCCATGCTTTTTCCCCCATCATTGAGTGGTCCTGTTCATATTCTCCTTACATAACATTATTACTAAGGAAATAGTCTGGGCGTTACTGACTATAATCTTCCCATTCCCTGGGTCAGTTAAATGAATGCCAAGAGGCACCAAATGGTGTTAGTGTCAACTCAGCACTCCCCTTTGGAGTAGTTTGACAAAGAGAAAGTTCAAGCTCTGTCTTTCCATTCATGCCACCCCATGGTCCTCTTTGTGCAGTATGTGATTGTCTATTTGTATTCTGTGTATGTGAATGTGACTGTTCCTATTGCTTATACAAGTGTCCCATCAAAGCACTTAGCCTTGTATTTATTGCACATTACAGAAAACATGGCACAACAAAGTGATAATGACAGATTCTTTAGAGAAATCTTTAGCAGAGTTTACAGAGAAAGAACTAATTTAGTGATGTCAACAAACCCTGAAACACCCAGAAAACAAAAAAAAGCACTGTAAAAACAAGCATACACTAGCAAGCTATATCTATGTTTATTGTGTCATTTATGGTGTATATTTGTTTGTAGGGTGGATTCTTACCTTTTGGCTGCTTTTAGCAAATGGTTACTACAACCCACACATACATACATGCATTAATCTGAGGTAGGATCATGGAGGATACACAATGTAAGATAAAAGCTGTGCATTGGCTTAGGTCCTAAGAGCTCTTTGTATGGGAATCCAAGGTAAGTAAATTATCTGTAATGTTCTTCTCTTATAGTCAGATTAAGCAAACAGGATGAGCACACAGTAGGGTATCTGTGTCTTACATGATCCCAATAATTTACATGGCTCTCAGGTCCATCAAGAGTTCAGTCTTTTATAAAATTGTAAGATAACTAGAATTGTATCAAAACACAATCCCAATCAAATTGAACATCCAATTAGGGTGGTAAAGTTGGTGGGAGGTGTTTTTTCAGTCAAGAACGAGTTTATGATGGTCCACTAAAGGGTATGCTCTCTATAGATGACATAACTAATGGGTTCATTGATGATGAATTCACAGGATAAAAAAAAAACCTTAGAAATATCACACTATGGTGATTGCCACTGTCACGTGTGAACTCAAATCACACCCAGGCTGGCCTTGAACTCACAGAGATCTGCCTGCCTCTGCCTCCCGAGTGCTGGGATTAAAGGCGTGTGCCCCACCACCGCCTGGCCCTCAAATCACAATCTTAATGGGACAAAAAGAATCACACAGTAGGGGCTGGGAGATACCATCGTGGTTAAGAGCTCTTGGTGCTCTTGCAGAGGACTCATTTAGGTTCCCAGTTTACAACCCTCTTTAACACCAGTTGCAATGAATCTGACATACCCTACTCATTTTCAAATCCACAAATCATCCATGTAGTGCACAGACGTATACTTAGGCAAAACCTTCATACAGATAATATTATCAGCAAGCCTAGAAATTACCAAGAGCACCATTCACTCACTCAATGTTAACATTTTTTACCTACAAGCCTCTGGTGGTTTATGCACACTGGCTAATGGTAGGAGGATCCTTCATGGTACAACACAATCACTAGTTCATCTGCTTGCTTGCTTTTCTCTTTCAGTTTTGGTTTTGTTTGGTAGGTAGTAGTTGTAAGGAAAAGGACAAGGCAGGACAGTAGATCCCTGTGACCCAGATCAACCCCTGGTTGACTCCACCCCCAAGACATCCTGTGTAAACCTCCCAGTCTGGTTACTTAAAAAAAAAAGAGTTGTTCTCTCTACCCTGTTAGAGTCAGATACTCTCCTGGACTCCTCCTTCCCAAATAAATCTCTTTCTCAAAAGAATTTTGGGTGTGAGGATCTTCATTCACTGGCTTAGAAAAGATCCTTGCTGAGATGTGGACAAAGCAAGGGAGAGATGAAAGAGCAGAAAAGGAGGAGCTGAACAGAAGATCCTTGCTGAGATGTCCCTCAGTGGATAGAGCAAGGAGGAGCTGAAAAAGTAACACTGTTCTCTGGAGGAGATTGCTACATTTCTACAGGGTTTTCCCCTTTTGCGGAGTGAAGCAAAAGAAGTAACATCTTAGGCCAGAGAAGCAGAGCTCTGCTAGGAAGCCCCCTTAAGTGGCAACTCAGCAAATCCCAGCTGTAGAGGCTCTCCAGGAGAGGAGCAGGATTGCTATATCCTGTGGGGAGACCATCCCCCATCACACCAGGTGAAGCCTGACTTTCCTGAACAGTCAGGATACCCTTCCCTGCTGAAGCAGTTCTAGGCATGACTCCCCAGTAGTCAGAAAAACTTCCCTTCCAAGGTATCTGGGATGCATAGCCCTCTAGGATTGAGCTGTTGTATTGCAGCTCAAGCCATTAGAGCTGTGGTAAACAGCTCCAGGTGTCCGGGCCACCTCCAGGGTAGAGCTGTTCTGAGCAGCTCGAAGTATCCAGGATACCTCACCCTCCAGGGCCGGAAGTCTCCTTGGAGCTCCAGCCATTTGAGTTGTCCTAAGCAGCTCAAGGTGTTGCCTGACTCCCCATGTAGTAGTAGTTTGGATACCTTTCCCCAGAGTTGCAAAACTCACATTTTTGGTTCCAAAACCTGGGACCCACAGAGTTGCAGCAAATTTACTTAAAATAGTGATGGTGTTACAAATGTGCATCAGTCCTATTGTATCTGGAAGACACTTTCCTAAGAATTGTCCATTATTTGTGGCTCTTAAAGTCTTTCTGCCTCCTCTTCTATGTAGATTCCTGAGCCTTGAGAGTGTGCTATAAGGAGACATACCACTTAGAACTGAATGTTTCAAAGTCTATCACACCCTGCCCATTGTCCAGTTGAGGAGCTCTGTTTTATTTTCCATTTACTGCATCAACATGCCTCCCTGATAAGAGCTAAGTGTTCTCATCAGGGCCTCACACTGATCTATGGGTATAACAATATGCCATTAGAAGCTGTGGTAATTTGAAAAGTAGTTAGCCTCCATTAGCTCATGGGGAATGACACCATTGGCAAGTATGGCTTTGTTGGAGTAGGTTAGGTATGGCCTTGTTGGATGTTGTATGTCACTGTGGAGGTAGGCTTTGAGGTCTCATACATGCTCAAGAAATATCTAGTATTTCAGTTCACTTCCTATTGCCTGTACAAGAGGAAGAACTTTGTTACCTCTCTAGCACCATGTCTTCCTGCATGCCACAGTGTTGCATTATGATGATAATGGACCAAATCTTTGAAAATGTAAGCCACCCCAATTAAATGTTTTTCCTTCATAACAGTTGCCATGGTAATGTATCTTCACAGAAATAGAAACTTCAAATATATTGCTATGTAATCTATACTATTGTAATTTTATTGTTATGTTCCATTAGGAGAACATTAGTTTTTGTTTTGTTTTGTTTTGTTTCCATAGACCATGATGAATCTAGTCTCAGGTTACTTTTCATTTTAGCAGTGTCAAATATTGGTTTTATCTCATTGATTAGGCCTTATATCCAATCAGAAACTGGTTATTTACTCTGATAATATTTGTGCCACTATTACACCAGCATATCTTGTAGGAAGGTTACTGTTTTAAGTTGTGGTGTCTGTAACTGGGATATATTGATGATTAATTTTCTTCTCTGATAGCCCTCTGAAAACATTCAACTACTGAGAATGCTAGTAATTATGGGTTAAACTACTATCTAGGTAATAACTTGATTTCTCTATGTTTGATGACAAATATAAGTCTTGTATTCTGCAATAGGTCCTTATCATCAGATTGTGGAGAGTAACCAATAGCCTTGGCATTACATTGTAACATTGAATGGTTTCAGTGGTTCCTCTTTGGCCAATACTCAACAAGATATAACTCCTGACACTGAAGCTTTTATTGGGTGGCATAAATGTCTAATGGGAGCATTTTTTCCTTTATGATTTGGTGACCCTCTATAACTCCCATAGAAGGTTTCTCCTTTTTTATTTTGTCATGTTTCTATTTGTTTTGCTGTGTTTCTAGTTTTCTATTTCAGAATGATCTGTTTTCATAGCTCTACCCCTTGTGCTATGCATTTCCTTTTACTTAGTTGTTGAATATTATTAAATTGCATAAACACAGCATATTTTTATTATCTGTTCATCAGTGATGGACATTTATGGTATGTTTGATTTCTGACTGTTTTGAATAGAGTAAAAATGAACAAGGATGCTAAATTATCCCTGTAGTAGGATCTACAGTCCTTTGGGCATATGCTCACTGGCATAGCAGGATCTTGAGGCATTTGAAATGGTGGCTTCATTGGTAATCCTCCTATGATTTACATAGTGGCTATACATG